GGGAGCGGCCGCGGCCCTCCGGGCTGGGCGACGGGGCGAGACTCCCACTCAGAAAAAGAAAGAAAAGAGAGTCATCCCATGGAAACCTGACGACTCGATTCTTTTTAAGTTCTGGCAAAACCCGAAGATTTGTGGCCTGGAGAAAACCGCCACCACGACGGGAAAACGCGGGACACGGGAAGCCCTTCGGGAAAGAAGCCCCCACGAACGAGCAGCAGCGGTTGAGGGTAAGGCGTGCGCCCTGGCGGCTCGGAGCCGACCCCTCTGGCTTTTTCCCATCCCTGTGAAAAATGAAGTCTCTCAGTTCTCTTTGGTCCGGTTTCCACAGTGACCACGGAGTCTCCCACGCACTCTGCGGCTGCCAAATCTTGCCAGTGGACGTCGTGCGGTGCTCGCAGCGAGCGCTGTTCTCTGTCTCCATCCTTTTTCCGAGCCTGCGCGGGCTGAGACACCAGCGCTTCCAGTTACCCTTTCAGGTGACTCCAAGCTCCCTCTCCAAACCCGTGGGGCAAGGGGTTCCACTGTGCTCCACACATTGGTCCATTAAGACTGTAACGAGCCAGGCTCGGGGGCTCGGCCGGTCATCCCGCGCCTCCGGGAGGCCGAGGCGAGTGGAAGGCCCGAGCCCGCGGGGTTCGAGACCCGCCCGGCAGCGAGGCCTCCTCTCTACCATCAATCAAAAATCAGCCGGGCGTGGTCGCGCGCCTGTAATTCCGGCTCCTCGGAAGGCGGAGGCGGAAGGATCGCGGAGCCCGGCGGGTCGAGGCTGCGGGGGCCGGGAGCGGCCGCTGCCCTCCGGTCTGGGCGACAGAGTGAGACTCCCACTCAAAAAACAACCCAAAAAAGAATATAACGCTGCCTCTTCATCCGAGTCCCACGGTGTGAGCTTTTCTAAGCCGACCCCTGAAAGCAGAAGCTATTTATAATGACATTCCAAAGTTCTGGGCCCTCGGAGTCTATTTTGTACTAGGGTTATCTGTGTTTCTATTTTGTATCCCCTGAAACTTTATAAGCTACTTGAGGTCAGGTACAGCCATGGTGGATATGCCCCAGAGTACGTGCGATGATGTCTAAGGTGTGGTCGGCGTCTCGAATGTGAATGAATGAGCAAACAAAAGTTGGATATAATGGAGCATCGTAAGTGAGGGGGAGGAGGAGGAGGAAGAAGGCAGTGAAGGCTATCTTTTTATATCCCTGGCCATCCATTATTAGACGATGTGCAAACCAGACTCTTTTTTTACGTCACTCTCCTCCGTTATCCTCTCTTCAGGAATAATGTGCAGTTGTAAGGTGGTGGCAGACACAACTATGTACAAGTGTGTGAATGGCCTTAAAGTGGCAGAATTATACTTTGTATTATAAACAAAATTATTAAGTAATAGAAGTCAGTATTACAAGAGATAATACCAAGGGACAAAAGTCACACGTATTTGTAGTATGTGTGTATGAAACATTCTATCCCTACCTTAATATTGTTTTTCTTTTTCTTCCTTTGCGTTGACGGACTGGTCCTGCCGTAGCTTCCCTCCCTCCTTCTTCCCATCCTCCGTGTTTCTTTTAAAAAATATTTTCATGCAAACCTCTGGCCTACTTGCTGCATTCCAGTTTTCCGAACTGCTCAGGTTCCCCACTTCATTTCTTCCATTTCCCATCTCTCTAAGTTGTCTCTAGAAAACGCTTTCAAACACTGTCTCACCCCCTCCCTCTGCATGTCCAGTTCAGACATCGCTTAGACATCGCCACAGCTCCACGGCCTTTCTGGTCTCTGGAGGATGCTTGGGTTCCTCTTTGTGGCCCTGCGGTGCTCTCGTCCCCTCGAAGCTGGTCGTGGATGCTGCTCTGTGACTGTTCACTCCTGTCACTCTATCCCTTCGAAGATAGTGAAGGATGCTGTTTCTTGCTTATATTGTTATCTTCTCCTAATACAGTGCCTGGGAATAATAGACACAATAAACATTTGTTGCCTGACTGGCTATTGAAAGAATAAATGCAATGCTTCCAAAGTTAGTGTTTGTTTGTTTTTTCCATTTCTAGGAAAGAGCAACCGTGAAGGCAACTAGAGAAGGCGACGAGGCTGTTGACGGTACTGAGACACGGCACCAAGGCCGCAGATCCACGTAAGGGTGTGATGTGGCTGGTGGCACTTGCAGAAGAAGAGCAGAATTCATCCGTGCCCTTGGAAGGCTTTCTTTGCCCAAGTGCTGTTACAAAAAACTGAATTAAGGATGTATTGAGCCAAATACAGTGTTTAATTTTTTGTTAAAGCTACCTCTATTAAGGGATGATTTAAATACAAAAAATGAAACCTCTGTAAATATACCTTTTGATAAGTTTTGCCAAATATATGCATCCATGTAACCAGGACCATAGTGAAACTCTACAACGTTTCCGTCACTGAAAATATTTCTGACGCTCCTTCCCATGAAGTCTCAAATACTCCCATCCCAGGCAACCTCTGTTCCTCTCTATCCCTGTGGAGATTTCTTAATTTCGTCTAAATGAAAAGCATGTACTTGTTTGTGGTTTGTTCACACAGTATATTTTTGCTACTTGTCTACAGTGTGTGAATCAGTGGTGGGTATGTTTGTATCATTGAAAAGTTATTTTTTAATATGACTGTAACACTTTTTCCAACCATTTGTCTGTTGATGAACATGTGAATATTTCCAATTTTTTACTGTTGTGAATAAAACTGGTAGGAGCACTTAGGTACAGGCTTTAATGTGGATATACACTTCATTTCCCTTGGGTAATGCCTGGGAGTAAAATAGTTGTCTTATTAACAGATTAGACGTCAATAAAATGAAACCTCCTGCTCATCAAAAACACATTTAAGAAAACGAATAGGCAGGACACTGGGAGAAAATATTTGCAAAGGACTAAGGCTTGTTTTCAGGATAAAAACAACTCTCTACGTCAGTATTAAAAAGACAAGCCAATTAAACAATGAGAAAAATAAGTCTGAACATTTAAGAAAAGAAGTTATTCAAGCTAGTCAAGGTGGCTCATGCCTGTAATCACAGCACTTTGGGAGGTAGAGGTGAGAAAATTGCCTGAGTCCAGGGGTTCAAGACCAGCCTGGGCAACTTGGTGAGACCTCGTCTCTACAATAAATCAAAAAATTGGCCAGGCATGGTAGCACACGCCTGTGGTTCCAGCTACATAGAAGGCTGAGGTGGAAGGATCGCCGGAGCGCAGGGGGTCGAGGCTGTGGCGGTCGTGAGCCTGCCATTGCACTCCAGCCTGAGTGACAGACTGAAACTCCTACTCAGCACACAAAAACAGAAAAAAGAAGATATACAAATAGCCAATAAACAGATGAGAAAGTGCTCAACATCATTAATCATCAGAGAAATTAAAACTACAACGTGATAGCAACGCTTACTACCCAGGCCGACACACCAAATGTGGACAGGGATGTGGACATTTTACACATTGTAGGTGGGAGTATAAGATCGCCCAGTCACTAGGAAAAATTTTGGCAGTTTCTTATAAAATTAAGTATATGGGCCGACTGTGGTGGCTGATGCCTGTAATCCCAGCACTTTGGGAGGCCGAGGCAAGAGGATTGCCTGAGCCCACGGGTTCGAGACCTACCTGGGCAACTTGGTGAGATCTCATCTCTACGATAAATCAAATAATTAGCCAGTTGTGTGGTACATGTCTGCAGTTCCAGCTACTTGGAAAGCTAAGGCAGAAGGATCACCTGAGCCTAGCCGGTTGAGGCTGCGGTGGCCATGAGTGTGCCACTGCACTCCAGCCTGGGTGACAGAGTGAGACTCTGACCGTCCCCCCAAAAAATTAAGTATATGCCTACCCTGTGAGTCAATAATTCTACTTGTAGGTGTTTACCCAAGGGAAACGAAAATACATGCCTGAAAAAGACGTGTGCAAAGATATTTACAGCAACTTTGTTTGTAATAACCACACTTGAAAATAGTCTGGGTAACTATCAGTAGAATGGATAAACTGTGTTAGATTCATGAATGCATGATTAAGATGTCTTTAGTTTCTTTTTCTTTTTTTCTCTTGAGTTGGAGTCTCACTCTGTTGCCCAGACCGGAATGCAGTGGCTGCTTCCAGCCACTGCAGCCTCGAGCTGCTGGGGCTCCGGCGATCCTTCCGCCTCAGCCTTCCAAGGAGCTGGAACTGCAGGTGCACGCCACCACACCTGGCTAATTTTTGATTTATTGTAGAGATGAGGTCTCGCCAAGTTGCCCAGGCGGGTCTTGAACCCGCGGGATCAGGCCATCTACTCACCTCAGCCTCCCAAGGCGTGGGATGACAGGCTGAGCCACCGAGCCCGGCTTGTCTTTAGTTTTCATAGAGAACCAAACATTCTACCTTCCTTGACTATTGTTTTTTTGCTACTAGTACCTCCTTGCTTACCAAGTTGCTCATTTGCAAAGAGAGCTGGGTGCCTGGAATCTTCCCCAAAGGAACTCGATATTTTCCTTGATTTCCATGCTGGGAGGTGCCCGGCAGGCCCCGAGGGGTCCCCGCTGCATCTCAGGAAGTCAGTGTCGGCCTGGGCCACTGAGGGCCTGACTGTGGCATGGCATGGCTTCCTGGCTCCCAGGCGCAAAAGGGCTGCCCAGGCCTTAGCACAGCAGCCAACTGCCCAGACCTCGCGGCTTCACTCGCAAATGGCCTGCGCCTGGTCACTGAGGCTGAGGTTGAAGGAAGGCAGTGACCGTCTTGTGTGGACCCCAGACTGCTTCCAGAACCTCAACACCACTCACACTTGAGCTTGCATGTGCCCCGGGAGAACCCAGGGGAGCACCGTGAGGTCTCTGGCGGCGTGGAGCCGTCCCTGGTTCCTTCCCTGCAGTTTTCAGTGAGAGCAATCTGAAGTCACTCCATCAGTGACCACTGGGTTTTGTGCCACAGAAAATGAAATGCAGAGTGGGTCTCCCCTATCCACCGAGGGGCCTTGGAGGCCCCCTGGGGAAGAATGAGCACATAGGTGGGAGGCAGATGGAGAGGGGAATAGAGAGGAAGCCTGTAGACCACCTGCCACCAGAGGTCACTTGTCTGGTTGGAGCAGGTACAAGACTGAAGTTGTGTCTTTTTCCTTCCTTCCTTCTTTCCTCTCTCTCTCTCTTTCCTTTCCTTTTTTTTTTTTTTTTTTTTTTGAGTCGGAGTCTCACTCTGTCGCCCAGACTGGAGTGCAGTGGCCGCTCCCGGCCCCTGCAGCCTCGACCTGCTGGGCTCCATCGATCCTTCCGCCTCAGCCTTCCGAGTAGCCGGAATTACAGGCGTGCGCTACCATGCCGGCTGATTTTTTGATTTATTGTAGAGATGAGGTCTCGCTGCCCAGGCGGGTCTCGAACCCGCGGGCTCCGGCAATCCACTCACCTCAGCCTCCCAAAGGCGCGGGACTACAGGCTGAGCCACCGAGCCCGGCTTCCTTTTCTTTTTTGAGTCAGAGTCTCACTCTGTGGCCCAGGCTAGAGTGCAGGTGGCAAGAACATGACTAACTGCAGCCTCAACCTCCTGGGCTCAGGTGATTCTTCCATTTCAGCCTTCTGGAACTACAGGTGCAGGGCACCATGCTTGCTAGATTTTTCTGATCTTTTTTCTTTGTAGAGATGGGAGTCTTGTTAGTTTGCCCAGGCTGGGCAAATTTCTGGGCTCAAGCATTCTTTCCACCTCAGCTTCCCAAAGTGCTGGGATCGCAGACAAGAGACACTGAGCCTGGCCAAAATTGTGTCTTTTGAATAACCAAATCTTGAATAAAATTTCACATGTCTGTATAGCACGTCCATTGCCACTGCTAACAGTAGTGGCCTGCGACTTGGGTGGCACTGCCCAGCAAGGATGGCCTGTCTAGAAAACCTGCCCTTCTAAGAGCATAGCCCTGAGATATCTTTTCCATGGGCCCAAGCAGACCCCTTGTAAGAGGAATTGGAAGACAGGGTGGGTTCCTCACCTCTGCTTTCTCTGCCATGGTAGAATTCTAAAAAATGGAACATTTTCTGCATTTTAGGCAACTCTTGAGAATACGTGTGTGACCTTAACTTTAGTTAAATGTCTACTTGGAAAAGTTCTTCCTCTAAGGTGGATATTGTTTTTATACCGATGCTGGGGCCTCCCAGATGATAATGAAAAAATACATTTCCTTAAAATACATTTCTTCTTTTGTTATGAAAGTAACAGATAAAAGAAACACTCTTCCAAAGCCATCATGATCTCTTAGTTAATTTTAAAAACTGATGAAAATAGAAAATAAAAAATAAAGAAGCAACAAGTTACAAATATTTTTAACTTAAAAACATAACTATCTATTCAGTATTTTTGTGACAAATGTATTGAGGTATACTTTTCATATGACTGAGAAAAGACAGGAAGATTTATCCGAGGACTGGGAGTCCTTTTAAACCATCAGGCTCAGAGAGGCATTAGGGTGAGGTGACAGTCACACCTACTCCCGCTTTGAGCTGTGTAATCACCTCTTGAAGCTGCTTGTACCACAGTCGCTATAAATCAACGCAATAAAGCCACGCTGGACATGATAACCCACACCCTAGAATTTAACAGTGTATTGTCAATCTATAGTTTATGTCATTTTAACGTAAATTCTTGGCAAACGGCTCAGGAACTGCCTCTTCTTTCCCTTTAGAAACTCCCCTGTAAGTGCTGCTAATTGAAGCATGTGTTCAGGGCAACCTGCATCTATGCTTCCAGGCTGCAGTCCTCAAACTGCAGTCCTCAAGGGTTTACTTCGAGAGAGTAGAAATAAACTCTCTACTCATGTTAGTTTTGCCTCAGGTTTTTCCTTTTAGGTGGACCCAGCAATAGTTCTGGTTTTAACTGTGCATGTTATTGAAACAGGACATGTTCACTGTGTGACTGTTGCCCTAATCAAAGTGCAGGATGTGTTTCCAGGAAGATCTTTCCGACTCCCTACTAGTCAGTGTCATGCCCAGGCCACAGAAGCCATCACGGTCTGTTTCTGATCTTTATTACACTCGACCAGTTCCAGCACGGTTCATGACTCTGGATATTTCCACATAGGGACAAACTTTTACTTAGCATTGGTTGACTGATTAGAATTCTTACTCGTCTCTTTTAGTATAGACCACATTCGTAATTCTTCTTCCCAAGCAACCCAATTTCAGCTTTTTAAAAAGTGGACTAAGAACTTGAATACATTTATGAAGTTCACAAGTTATTTTTCATTTTTCAAGAGTTATCTTGTCTATCCCTAATTCGAAAGCAATTTTTTAAAGCAACTTCCATTGCATCTTTATTTCTCAAATCAATATCTTGTTTTCATAGCTAGAACTTTCTTTCATTTTGCACTGATGTGTAACTGGTTTCATCATGTTTAATTGAGTTTTGTAGTAAGGATCACAAGTGGCGTAAACAGTGTTGGTAAAAAAGCCAAACTGCAAAATATTCGAAAAGGTTTATTCTGAGCCAAATATGAGTGACCGAGGCACAGTCCCAAGAGGTCTTGAGAACACGTGCCTAAGGTGGTTGGATTACAGTGTGGTTTTATACATTTTAGAAGTTGCTGGCAGAAACATCAACCAATACATGTGAGGTTAACACTGATCAAGCCCAGAAAGGTGGGACATCTTAAAGCAGGGATTCGCAAGTCTTAGGTGGATTCAAAGATTTTCTGATTGGCAACTGGTAGAAAGAGTGCTATCTAAAGAATTCGAAATCAGTAAACAAAATGCTTGAGTTAAGATAAGGACGGT